CGAGCTCGCCCCGCGCGGCCCCTCCCGCGCGGCGGCCAGACAATGGGCCCCGGCGCCGGCTATTCCTCCGCGGCCCACTGACGCAGCTTGTAAAAATAGCTCGGGGCTCCCGGAACTCCCCCGCCCGCCTCCCCCGAGCCCGCGCGGCAGACGGCCCAGCGCGCCCAGCCGGGCGCAGCCGCGGGCGGTTCTGCCCGTTTTGGGGGACCCAGTTTCGGGGGTCTGCAGGTGCGGCCGGTAGTCCCGGGGGGCCGGAGAGGGTGGCGAGGGCCCGGCCGAGAATGACCAGCTGGAGTGGGAGGGCCGAGGCCCTGCTTCCAGTCCGCCAAGAAGGGGGAAGAGGGGCCCCGGGAGCCAGCGGGGCCCCAGGCTGCTGAGCCCCGGGAGCCAGCGGGCGCGCCCCCTTCCACTGTGGCTCCATTTGCCAAGCCCTGGCCATGGCCGGCGCAAGATGCCCTGGCTCGCTTTTCTGCCTGAGTCCAGGGTTCCCAGCCTGCCTGGGGCCCTGCGCCGAGCCTGTGTTCAGAGCGCCTGTGGTCAGCATGTGCGTCTCAGGCTGCCACGAGACTTCCTGGCCACAAAGCTCTGGCCGCCAGCCTGCCCCAGCTGCTGAGCTCCAGGGGCGGGTCCCTGCAGCTGCAGGGCCCCTCGACTGTGGCAGCCGAGGGCCACCTGCCACAGGTGCGTGCTTCTCCAGGGGCTCCTTGAGCAGGTCCCTGGCCCCTGGCCCAGCCCCTCCTCTCACTCTAGTTTGTAAGCCGGTCTTCTGGGGACACGTGGACAACGTGCAGACCCGGGGTCTGCTGCCCTGGGGAGTGGCACCTGTTCCCTGTGGTCCAACTCTGCTTCCGAGGCAGGAATAATAGAAACTGGATCAAAAGTGGAAATGAACAGGATGTTTGTGACGAGCCCCCACATTCGGTAGCACTGTCTTCCTTTACCGCCTTCCCAGGTGAGCTGCGGGAGGGGACAGGATTTTGTGGGTCCCGCAGGGTGAGAGACCCATCAAGGCAGCATGCAGGAGGCTACCGGCTCTGGGTTTCCATGGTAACAGCAGCTAGGTCATCTGTGCTCCCGAGTGGCCTGGGCACTGCCAGTGGCCTCGTGGCTCATGCTGTCCGTCCCAGCAGGTGAGGGAGTGAGGCCCAGGTGGCTGCTTGTGCCTTGACCAAGAGGGAGCCCTGGCGCAGATGCCAGCTGCCCGCCCAGTGAAGCCCAGGGCTGAGGGTCTGTCGGGTTCCCACCGCACCCCACGCGCCCCCACCCCACTTTAACTGAACAGGGAACGACGTTGAAGCAACATGAAATGAGCTGTGAAAAACAGAAATTCAGCTCAAGTTGGACAAATAGGGAGACATGGTCCCTGCCACACCAAGAAGCTTGTGACCAGGGAGGGCTTCGGGCCGGTAGGTCCCGGGACACAAACAACACCTGCAGCCAGTTTGGTCTCGAGGGCGGCTGCGTCTTTTTCTTACTGGCTGCCCCTGACGCTCGCCCTTGGCTTGGGGCTCTGCAGAAAGAGGAAGCAGACACTTAGCGTGACAACAGCCGGGCCACCGCCCGGGAAGATGGACACGTGTCAGCTGTGGTCCAGGGCCTAGAGGTGGGCGGGGTGGTGCCCCAAGGAGACTCGGGTACTGTGACCAGCAGGACAGAGAGCAGTGAGGACACAGTAACTGGCATGGGGTGATCTATGAGGTGGATCCGGGGTCGGGGCGCCAGGACTGGGGTCTTGGGAGTGGTTTTCTGGTCGTCTTCAACGCCTGGCCGACAGGTCGGCACCTTCTCGTGAGACTGCGCCTCCCCTTCCTCCCTCCCTTGGCCCCCGCTGGCCTAGGGGGCAGTGGCCGGATGCGGAGCCTGGGTCCGGGGTATTTGGAAAGGCCACAGCATCCCAGAGCCCCTTCAGCCTGGCACCCAGAAGACACTCACGTCGGCCTCCCTCACCCGCGCCTGCCCAAGCCAGGTCTTGCTCAGAGTTGAAGGGGAGCGGGAGGAAATATTTTGGGAAAACATCTGATGTTTTCTTGGCGCTGAACTAAAGATGGCCAACAGTCTCGGGGATACTGACTACAGCCCCGCTCCGTGCACCTGTCCGGGGCTTAGCGAGTGAAGGCCATCTGCGGTCCAGTGGGAAACGTCGACTGATGGGCACGAATAGAGCCTGCTGGAACAGAGCCGCTGAGCACCGACTTGGCAGACCGGATAGAGCAGCTTGAGGTTCCTCTTCCAGCACCAGGTGATAAGTTGATTTTACCATTGCTAATTTCACTTCAACACAGAAAAATGTCATCTGGCTGAATCGCCTAGGAACTTTCCTTAGAATGTGGGTTCCAATGGAAAGAGACAGGAGCCCAGAAAGGGACGCGACCGGAGCAGGCCAGCCGGCTGGGAGCCCTGCGAGCACAGCACAGCACAGGCGGGCAGAGCCGCGGGTGGGTGGGTGGTGAGCCAGGAGTGGGGAGGTGTCCCACACCTGCCAGCCAGGTGCACACCCAGCTCACCATTTCTCAAACTCTGCAGCTCTAAAATGCACCTCGGACGGACAGGCCGTCAGCGCAAGCCGAATAGGCTGGTGAGGCAGTGCAGAGCCGTGCGGGAGCGCTGGGAAACCAGGGGTGGACGCTGCGACGGAGCAGCCATGGACTGGACTGGGCGGGACGGCCAGTGCTGCCTTCAGCTCACAGGATGGGGCGGGCGCTGTGGCTTGGGGGTCCTCCTGGATGGACGTCACCCCCCCCCCATTGCATCCCTCCCCTCGTCTTCTGGTCAGGAAGCCTTTGCATCCAGGAAGCAACTAGTTCAAGTAAACAGAATGCAACAACTGGCAGTAATTTTGCAACTGCACCCTACGCCCCCTGGTTTTCCTTTAAGGGCTCAGAAATGAAAGGCGCCATCGAGGACACCCACTTTCGCGTGGCTCTAATGAGCAGCCATGCGCATCGCCATTGTCTGTTCCGTCCAGGTTAACGGCTAGGCAAGGCGGCCTCTCGCCGCTAGGGCTGTTTACGCGGCCGAGCGCGAGCCGGCGCGGGGAGCCGCGGGTGCCCGCCCCGCCCCCACTGGGAGCTTTTCTAGTGCGGGGGCGCCCTCTGCTGGGCTTCCTGGGTCACCGACGGCGGAGGCCGCGCTGGCCGCAGGCGTGAAGGTGAGCGCGAGGGGCTGCTTGGAGGCAGGGGCAGACAGTGGGGTGAGTTGCCGAAAGGGGAGCCCAGGAGACTGGCAGAGCCCGGCAGAGCCGAGAGAGGAAGCCCGCGCTGCCCAAGCACCGCCCACCCCGGGCTGAGAGCCGAGTGGGAGAAGCTGGTTCCTGCCTGAGCGGGGGGCACGGGGCGCCGGGAATGGAGCAGGCCAGCGGTCAGCATCTGGGGCCGCCGGGCGAGGAGACGGGCGGTGGCTCCTCGGCCACACCAGGATTGGGGTCCTTTGTGGGTGGGGTGCGGGTGCTGCCC